TAAAGTCAGAATTCTGAGATTAAAGCCAGAATTCTGACTTTACCATATTAAACTAAAATAATATTTAAAAATCAGTTAAGTTTTTATTTTTTTTCAGTGGCCCTAATCCTCTTCCATACTCACCTGTATTTTAACACCAGTTTTTTTCCAAATCTTTTTGATCAGTTTGCAATCCGCAATATATTTTTTTAAATCAAACCCAATATTTATGAAGGCTCTATTTAACCATTTTAATTAATTGTAGAGACAAAAACAGTCCTAAATATGTTTAAACCCTATATGCTTTTCAAATACAAATCCACATTTGTCAGCTTGGTCATTCCTTAGTAGCTATATTTTCCCCAGAAATATCTGCCCTCTATAAATAATTTAGCGTGCATTAATTAAGGACAAAGTGCAAAGAAATCAATGTTCACTCAACACAAGTGTTTTTATTAAAAACAGTTCACAGCATCCTTAGGGTTTTCTTTTATCAACTCCAAGGGAATCAAGATGACAAGCTTTAAAGAGGCAAAATGATTAATGCTTTCCTTTCGGATACTGTAACATCAGTGTAAACAGTGTAATCTTGGATACTTTATCAAACTGGATTCTTAATTATTAAATTCAAGAGATGTAGAGATATCCAGGCTATCATTAACATATTTAAGGCTACCGATTTAATCTGACACGAATGGTAGTCCATAACCAAAGGCAATAATAAATGCAGGTATCAGCACTTGGTATTTTATCATTTCTGATGGAGTAAAACAGTAGCTTTGTTCATGTTTGTAACAGTTCTATTCACATTTAAGTCCAACAGTCCCAACATCAGGTAAATAAAACTAATGCTTTATGAAGTGCGGAATTGTAGTATTCATTTTGCAACTCAAGAACAGACATCCTTTCCTTGTAGGGCAATTTGATGCCAGAGCTCTCAGTGGGCTATAAAACTGACTGACAATGATTAAGTCACCATCCCCCAGGTCTGTTCAGGACGTGCAAGAAAACTGGTGGGAAAATACAGCAAACGTATGAAAACCATGGCATCGTTCTGTGCTTATGTGCATCCTTTACAGAGAAAGAAATGTCAGCAATCTGTTATTAAGTTATCCTAATCTAAAGAGCACAGTTTTAATCTTTCCAAACAGTTAAAACACCAAAAACTATTTATCTTATAGGGATTCTCCTTAAGGCAGGTACGAAGTCAGTGATGCATAAACTGTCTCTTTAGCTTAGCGTCCCATCGTTGGCATGGTGACAGCAGGGCTCGTCACGGTGGCGTCCTCTGCCTTCCACTGAGACGTCACAGTCTTGATCTGAGTGAAAAACTGAATACCCTGGTGGTGAAAGTGGAGTGGATTTGTCAGCAAGTCAAAGGGAAAACATGTTTAGTCTCTGGGATTATCAATGCAAATCATCCTAAAAAAAAAAAAAAAAATTTTTTTTTGTCTTTTTACCTGCTTGCCATAGAAGTTGGTATCTCCTCTGAAAGAACCTCTGGAGCCAGTAAAGGAGAACATGGGCAGGGGGACGGGGATGGGTACGTTCACCCCAATCTTAACAAAAGCATAAAAACACCTATGAATACTTGCCAAAATGGGAGGACAAGTCTAAAGCAGAATAAACTAACAAAATGTAAAACATTGGGAGCAGAATCTGGATTAAGGGATTCTGCAGAATCTAAGAGAACTTGTTGAACATAGATGAACGGAAATCTAAAAACCACATTTTAAACAACCCATCTCCATGATAAGGGGCACGTTTGATCATTTCAACTGTTCACTGGAGCTCTGCCGAGCCATTTTATTCAGTGCCATGTTGCACATTTTGTCACTCAAATTGGTTTCAGGTCTATCCAGCTGCATCCAGAAGCAATTTGGTCTATGTTATTAATAACTCTGCCTGGAAACTGACAATGAACAGTGAGGTTCTACAGTGTTGTGCATATACAAATTCATCAAGCAATGACAGTCTAAGACGCTAATGCAAATGAGCTTCAAGTCATAAACCACTGATGCTTTATAAATATCTTCAGCCAGGAGAAAAGGAGATTATCAAAACAAAATGAACCACCAGTTCCAGGTGTGCAGCTGAGATTAGGATCACAGATTCAAAAGCAACTAAATCTCCATTAAAGCTTAAAACCATTTTTTTTTTGTATAAATCTTCATTCTTGTGTCTTTTATAAACCCCCTCACCTGTCCTACATCCACTTCATGTGTATATTTGCGTGCTGTGGCTCCATTGGTGGTAAAGATGGCCGTGCCGTTGCCATAAGGGTTTCTGTTGATCAAAGATATGGCTTCATCGAGCGTGTCGGCTTCAAGGATTATGAGCACCGGCCCAAAGATCTCCTCCTTGTAGCATTTCATGTCAGGCTGAAAAGAAAAGGAAAGATGAGAGAAGAGCTTCCCTGTGAAAAAGGAAAATTCTGGGCATCATTAAGGTATCCCACTGCTGCTAGTATCCCCATTTCTGCTGAAGATAATCAACAGTGCTATAGATTCATTTTGTAATATTTCAAACAACTTCTTATTTTAGGAATTTGAAAAACTCCAGAAACCTTGATGCAAGAGGAAGGATGCTACTTTGAGAAAACTGAAAGTTATTAGAGGGATTCATTAGTCTGAAATAGACTGCATTAGCACAATAGGCAGGAAAAAAAAATCTGCATTTTCCTCAGATTAACCCTACAGTGGCCAAAACCACACATCCATTAATCTCCAACAGAAGCAGTAAAAAAATAGAAAAACCTTTGATTCTGACGAACAGGGAGACTGTTTTTTTTTTTTTTTTTTGCCTCTGATAATAACTTCAGCACCAAAATAAGTTCTGCAGAAATGAGACGTCCTTGGTTATTAATATCATTTCCATTTCATTTTCAGAACCACATACAGGGACATGCAGCTCCAGAGGAAAATAGCTCACTTTTTCTAATAAAAAAAAAATCATTATTAAAAACACCTGGAATCCAGGCTGTCCATTCTATTAGGCAGGCAAAAGTATTCATACCCCTCAACCTTTCCACAACTGACCTAAATGTCTTTTTCTGGGGATTTGTACATGAAGAACCAAATCACATCAAAAAAAAAAAAGGAAAAAGAATAATATTATATATCCCTCTGCGTCTACACACACTTCAAAATTCTGCACTACTTTGGCCGATAACATCAAATCCCCCCAATTTACACAAAACTTTAATGTTGCAATGAAAACTTTTGTAAGAAGCTGTAGATTAGGATTCCCATTCTCACCCTGACGTTGCTTAAGATGGTGGGTCCAACAAAGTTTCCGTTTTCATATCCTTTGACGTGAACGTTCCTCCCATCCAGCAGCAGCTTAGCACCTTCATTAACGCCACTCTGGATCAAATGCTCCACCTTAGCCTTCGCCTCAGGGGAGATCAGGGGCCCCACATCGGCCCCAGGTTGATCACCTGAAGAAAAACAATACTATTTTCTTTACAAACAGGCAACCTGAACAAAGCTTTGTTTTTAAAATAAAACGCATGATAATAGATAACACTTTGGACTGATTTGCATAAAAAAAACTCTTCTTCTTGTTACCTGCATTTACGCGCAGCGATCTGGAGCGCTCCACCAGCTCTGGGAGCCAGTCACGAGACTCTCCGACAAAAATAGCAGTGGAGAGAGCCATGCATCGCTGACCAGCGGCTCCAAAGGCAGCCCCCACCAGCTGGTTGATGGTGTTCTCTTTGTTGGCGTCAGGCATCACCACACCATGGTTCTTTGCACCCTAAATGCCAAAAGAAAGAAAAAAAAAAAAAAAGCAAGCACAGATGTCGATATGTTCATTTTTACAGAAAATAATGGCCTTTCTAATTGAAGATTGGAGCATTTGAGAGTGTTCAGTGAAGCGCTCCGAGTACCATGTTGGACTGAACCCTCTTTCCATTCTTGGAGCCCCGCTCGTAGATGTACTCTCCTGCCTGGTTGGATCCCACAAAGCTGATGGCTTTAATGGCCGGATGGTCACAGATAAAATTCACAGCTTCACAAAGGAGAAAGAAAAAAAAAAAGAAGAAGGTTGAGCCTTTTTTTCTTTAAAATAAATGTTTGGATTCGCATCACAAATAAGAACTTTATGCCAGTTTTCTGCAATATCATAGTTGGTGCATAAGGAATGTATTTATGAACTAGAAGGATTTAACGCTAATGTGTTTATTGCTCCCTTGAAAATAACTGTTGTCTTTTCCTTTGGGGTTTCCTGGCAGGGAAAATACCTCATTAAACGCCTCAGATAATGCTGTGCTTCCTCATGTCACCAGTAAAATATCCTGAGTTTGACTCTTTGTTTACTCTTGCTTATATTTCTGTGAATTGGCATCATGTGTCAGTTGTAAAGCTGCTGCAGTTTTCAGCAAAGGTCAGTCAGAAAACAAATGGACAGTTCTTTGTGTCTGTCGCCTAAATCACATTACATAAATCTAAGTGTGTGTTTATAATGTGAAAGATCAAAAAGTAAAACAAAAGGATATAAATACAGTGCAGATATTTCCTTTCTGGACTGGATTCTGTTGCTTACAACTAATTCATGCTGGGAAGCCCAGAAAGAACAAGGAGTCACAGGCTCACCTGCATGCTGCCCATGGATGATATTTAGAGTACCATCTGGTGCTCCTGCATCCTGGAGCAATTTGGCCAGGAGCATGGTGCAGCCTGGGACGCGCTCGGATGGCTTCATCAAATATGTGTTGCCGCACACCATCCCGATGGGGAACATCCACAGAGGAATCATGGCAGGGAAGTTGAAGGGGGCGATGCCGGCGCAGACTCCGAGGGGCAGGCGGTACGTGTACGTGTCCATGTCCTTAGTGATGGAGGGCAAGGTTTCACCCAGCATGAGGGAGGTGATGCTGCAGGCGTGCTCCACCACCTCTGAACGGAGGAGAGGAGGATAATGACTAAACCTTTAATTGAGCAGAGAAAATAGCCAAAACGCTCCAAATTGCTATTTAAATTGCTCCAGCCATTATGAGGCAAATTTCACACTGCATTGCTATTAAACCAAATGTTAAACGCCACACAACCGAAAGCTGAAATGTTACTGGAACCAGTTTGTTCTTCCATCTACAGACTGGAAGTGTTTAGATATCTGGTTAAAGAGCTGAACCTGCTACCCTCTGCCTGGTTGTGTTCATTAGGAAAGAATGAGAAGGCTTACACCTGCCTCCCTAAGCCTCCATAATAGATGGTGTATGTCGGTGATAAAGACAAGACAGCAGACGTGTGAGACGTGATTACGTCTAGAATGATGTTTCCAAAAATGTACAGTACATGTCAAAACTATTCAAACCTCCTGAATTTAAGGTTTTATGTGAGAAATCCTGTTAAACACATTAAAAGAAAAAGTGTTGCATTTAACCAAAGCTGCTGCTCCCTAAATGCACCAGGAAGCGTTATCACAAATCCTTCCTCCCAGCAGCTGTAAGACTTTATAACCATCACTGTTCTCAACAACCTCGACAAGTTTTATAGATTCATGCTGATTTTTGCACAGTTTCTATCTTAGTCAGTTAAATAACATGCTGCTCTTATGTTGCTTTTTTCCATATATCCATTACTGTAAAAATGTCCACAGCTCTTATTTTTTTTATTCTCCTGATGCATAGTATTTATATTGTAGAAAAAAACTGCACAGTACAGTATTTTATTAGCTTATTTTCTTAACTCTGTCACTTATTCTTTATTTTTATACACTTTTCTAAGGTTCACATTGTTTGACCACTGCTGCTATAACATTTTACTGCTGTAACACCACAATTTCCTCTTTGTGGAACAACAAAAGGCTTTTCTATTCTATTCTATTCTATTCTATTCTATTCTATTCTATTCTATTCTATTCTATTCTATTCTATTCTATTCTATCCAAAGCTGCACAGCAATTAATTAGTAGAAAAAACATGAATCTCTCAGAAATTCCTCTATGTGGATTAATAGATCTGTGTTTCTCTTCATCTCCTTTCCTTCATGCCGTCTAAAGTTTGAATGTGAACTTCTAAAGAAAAAGTTCAATTTCCGAGTGATAAAGAAAAATTCAAACTTCAAGCACCAGTGCCCCTGTTCAGCAGAAAATCTCAACAGCAGGCAGCGGGGCTCCAAATGGAGCCTGTCTTTCAGCTGATAATGGAAAAGTTAACTTGCCAGGAAAGTCTGAGCACAAAAACTGGGATATGCATCAATACACCTTTTTTTTTTTTTTAACAGCTCTATCTTGTAGTTACTGAAAAAAAAAATCATTTTTTTAAAGTTTGCAGGAATTTCTCACTTCCTCCATATGTTTCTCCTTGATGCTAGAAAGAATAAGTGCTACTCAGTGAGGTGAAGAAAACTGTTATTCTTCTATTCCAAACAAACAGCCTGAAATTTACATTATTTAACTTTTTCACTGAACAGCTGAATAAATGATGTAGAATCAGGTCTAAATATATGAATTCTGCAGCAGTACTGCTCACTGAAGCATGTGTTTGCGTAAATGAGATAAGATCTGAGTCAGCTCCATCTGAGGAATCCTGATTTCTGATGTTTATTCAACAGTCCTCTTAGTCTCTTCATGAAGTCAAGTCCCTAAACTCATGCCTCCAGAGGAGAAGCTAACATTTTACTCACGGAGCCCTCTGAACACATCTCCCTCTGCGTCTGCGAGCGTTTTGCCTTGCTCCAAGGTGATCACTTTTGCCAGTTCTTTCTGAAACATTGAGATCACTTAATTAGAGGAGAGATCATCCAGTCGGGGAGGTTCATTAGGGGGCTGCAGATTTCCCTACGATGTTATCCTTAATGAGCTGCTGGTAGCGCAGGAAGATCTGCTGCCGGCTTAGGATGGACGTCTCGGACCACGAGCGGAAAGCTTTGGAGCAGGAATCCACAGCTGCCAGCATCTCCTCCTGAGTGGCTTTGGGAACACGTCCCACTACTTCATTGGTGGCCTGAGGAGAAGGAGGTAGAGTATTCAAAGCTGACAGAGAACAAGAAATGATTACTTGGCACGACATGCTGGACATTATTCCATTATTATTAACAACAGAATATGTTTTTTTCCCTGACATTTACAGCCCTGAATGTTTATGAGATGAGATGGATGTGTTCCAAAGCAATAATCACCCATCACAGCGTAGCTAGAGGCGAATACTTCACAAGCTCCACAGCAGGATAGGTTCTTAACTATTTTTACACTCTTATTTTTCGAATGAATTCATATGAAACCCCATCAAAAAAGCAGTGAAAATCTGAACAATGTAGAGAAACTGATGCAGTGTTTTAAATTAAAATATGAAAACTCAGTCATTTGTTAGAAATGTTATGCCGGGTTCACACAGCAATCTTCAAACAATCTGAAGTGTCAGAGACCCAAAACATAAAGAAAAAGATGTAACTAGAAATCGACATTCAATTAATTTTTACATTTTTTAAACAAATATGAGTTTTTTGATTCTGATTCTTGAAGCCGAACTTGTTTTTTCAATCTCATTTTCATGAAAAAAAGTGAGATAATGATGACAAATGTGACACACGTTTCAGTTTAAACGAAAATAAACCCAAATGATTACCAAAATATTAACAGACAGTAACAGAGGGAGTTGCAATTTATTAATTTGACCTCAGGACATGGATTGCTGCAGTCATGAATCAGCAAACGCATCCATAAAAAAAAAAAAGCTAGTATTAGACAAAAACATCAGCCAGCTGGCCAACCTCTAGATGATGAGTTTGGTTCAACAGAGAGCCACACAAAACAGCAATAATTAGATTTCAGACAGGAAATCTTGCAAAGCCTTTAGAGATCAGATTAAGTAAACATGATAGATGAGGAAGAGGCAAGGATGATAGTTTATAGGCTAGCCGTGACGGTGAGACAACAGAAAAAAGAAAAGTGTAGTTTAAAAGGAGTCAAGCAGTAAAAGCAGGTGCACTACTTGCCACAATTGATATGGGTTTGGATTATGATGGATTTTTTTCTCAGGAAACACTTTCTAATTAACTATACCTCACACTGAACAAGGAGTTCTTCATTCTGCTGGGGGGGGGGACCACACGCTATGATGCACTACTCTGTGTTGGTCTAATCACAAAATATTTAGTGAACACACTGAGGCTCGTGACGAAATGTGAAAAACATTCAGGGTATAACATTCATTTTGAAAGGCACTGTAATTTACAAAACAGGACAAGTTCCTGCCGTCATGTCTCGCCGCTCTAGGCGAGCGCGAATACTCACAGGGTTGTGAATGTCTAGCCATTCAGACGAGCTGGACTCCACAAACTTCCCATCAATGAACAGTTTGGTTGTCGGCTGGAAGATAAAAGAAGCGTATAATTAAACCCCTTTTCCTGCATGATTACATTCTTAATAACTTTACTGACAACATCTATCAATCACCACAAAGTGTGCAGAGGGTGATGCGTCTCCTTGAAGCATTACATGGTTGCTTGGTTGCAATTAAACAACAATAATTTGGCTTAATGATATCCATCTACCTGCTAAATGTTTTAGTAAAGCGTAGAAAGTAGGAAAAGATGTTGGGAAAAATAACCAGAGGTTTTCCAGGCATTGATTAAACAAAAGGATCCAACAGTGGAGCAAATCTGAGCAGCAAATTTAAACAAACTAGTTCCCTATTACTGGAGGATTTTAAATAAACTTCCTGGCAATGCTCCAGTCTTCTGCAATAATTTAACAGCTTTAATCGCATTTAAAACTCTTCACATTTGTTACAGGCTCAGTGATTTAGCCTCTTGGCTCTGGAAGAAAATAAAAAATAGTTTTAAATGCAAAAGGTAGATCCCAAATAGTGAATGCAATAAAACTTTAAACAAAAGATAAATAGTTGAACAAATAATACTTAAAATGATTAAAACTAAATGAATGTCCAATGCAGCAGTCCAAAGAGTGACTTTGTGGCCCTTTTCTAAATATAAAGTAAATTGGATAACAAACATTCAGGAGATTACAATTGGCAAAATACAGCAAGGGTTTCAGGTGTAAGTTTTCTCATTTTGTTGGTCATAATTCAGTTAAAACAACTGTTAGAACAGAAAAACATTCAAACTCCTCAAAAAGCAGGAAAAGCGCAGGCCTCGTTGATATTAGGCCCTGTTCAGACCTACAATCATCTGTTCCTTTTCTTTATAAAGTAAACGACCCATTTTCAGCATGTTGATTTTGGTTCTACAGCTCAAAATGTCTGAACACCACTGGACTAATATGAAATTTTAGAAATATTTAAAACAAAAAATTATATATATATTTTTTAAATAGCCAAAAAAATTGTATAAGGTGATATTCTCAACATGAAGGCATTTTTACAAAATGAGGTAGGTGGTCGTAAACTGAAGGCTCCGTAACGACTCCTAACAATATCTAAATAACAAAACACAACAAATCCCAACAACCTTGTGAGATCCATAATGTCAAATAACACCTTAATGATATCAGTTGAGATAAACCTCTCAGTGAACTTTAGCGTTAAGGGACCCATCGCCTGCTTTTGGTGTGGGCTGCTGCTGCTGCAGAAAGACTGCATCCCAAGCTCTGAGGATCTTACCAATATGCAAAATATAAAAGTCTGACTTTTGGACTATTAAACAACTTCTGCATTTGAAACAACTCTAAGCCAAACTCTAAGCCAAATAAATTTTCACACATTATTATGCCAAGGATGTTATATATCTGTGATGCATTGTTTAGCTGCATCTCAAACTTTTCCGTGAACTCTCTGAGCTACTACTACTATGTTGAGCCCCTGTGACATTATTACTTGTACTTTAAATGTTTCTGTTTCTATTCTGTTTTGTTAATCATTTGGGGTTTAAGTTCTTTCTAATTAAAGATTGTCTTATTTTATTGCAGACTATAAAGGGTGCAAGGAAAATGACCCAAAACCAAGGATTTGATGAAGAATAGGATTCAAGATAGAGAAACTCTGCGGCATTGTTTGATCCCACAAGATCATTTCTGATGACAACACATTACTAGTTCCTCTCTGTTAATCTGTTCGACTAATTCAGCTCAGAATGAAAACCAGATACAGCAGGACATGTCCTCTTGATATATCACACATTAACTGTGATAAACCACACTTCTGGTCAAATATCAAAATGAGTAATGGATGATTACTGTCTCACCAGTTGATTAAAGAAAATTATTTCAATGGAAAGTTTCTAGCATTTGAAAGACCTCAAAAAACAAAACAACACACCATGTCCTCAAACATTATACATTTAATAATAGGTGGGAAAACAAAAACACCGACATCTATCCTTCCAGGAAATGTTACAAAGCCATTTATAATGCTTTGTAAACCCACAAACCAAAGCCAGAGCCGTTATCCACAAATGGAAGACAGATTATAAGCCATGAAAACCGTCAAGGAGCAGGGCCCTACCAAATGAAACAAGGAACAAACAATGACACAAAATGGGTTGTAGACTGAGTTTTAATAAAACAAAATAATAAAAAAAAACTGGTGTGACAGTCAAAATGCATGTCAGTCTGAAACGCTTAAAACAGACCTGAGAAATTCGTCAATGGAGATGTAAACACAAATTTTTATTTCGTGGTGTTGCTTTTTGCCAATGTTGGCTTTTTTTTTTTTTTTTGGGGGGGGGGCTTTCTTACAAAGAGATGGATTCATATGATTTTTTTTAATGGTAACCATAAAATCTGCCCTTCTAACCTATTTAATACTCTGTGCAATAATTCTTTTAGTAAATAAGAGACTTCAGCTGTTATAGTTATCTCAATAAATCACCGTTGTACTTTTCCTGGTAGAACTGTAATGTACAACGCCAAATCATGTGTATAAGTCACCTTAAATCTCTGCCTTATGTATTTATTATTTTTCATATAGTCCATGCACCTTTTCCTCCTTTTGGCACCTTCTTTTGACCATTTAGCCGATGAGACAAAGGAATTTCTCCCTTGTGTGATCAATAAAGTCTTATATCATCTTAAAAATGCATATTGGGTTTATTTGGTTGAAGAAATCGGTAAGGGGATAAATGCTTTGTTCTTTTCTCCATCCTGTAAAGAAACATCGAAACCTGATAAACAGGTTAATCACTAAAACTTGATGTACTGTGATTTCTTTGAGTGTTGTAACAGCAGCTGGGTGTCAGGAG